GATTCGTATGAAGAGCAAAGGGAGGGCTTTGGACAGCTCTGGAGACGAAAGGCCGCTACCACAGGAACCGGGTGTAACAAAACTTGAAAACTTGTCTTAGGAATTCCCTCCTCAAGCGCTGCTGCTAGCTGCTCTCCATGCCAGAGAAAGGGAAGGGTAGTTTGGGTCCAAAAGGTTAAGGGTTTAGAGGTCACTCTTCCCGGCTGAAATACAACTAATCGAATAGAAAATTTGTCCTCTGGGTGAACCTGTTCCTGCAATTTAGCCGAACTTCAGTAAAATACCTTTTCAGCTTCTCAACGTGAAGGCGTCAGAAAAAAGACGTCTTTACTATGTATGAACTCGGTGCTTTTTGTCATAGAAACAATGATGCGAATAATGCGGGAATATCCATCTTTAATATCACGACGTGGAGATATTCAAGTATTGCCATGTGCAAGTCTGAGAACTGGGCTAACCCTAAGGAAGAACAAAGAGTTTTCTCCAGGCTCTAAAACAAAAGAGCAAGTCTTAAAGACACTTTGCGGACTTCTAGGGATGAGAAAAGGGCAGAAATTAACCGCTGGCCACAGTTAATGCTGCCGAATACACTCCTGTTGAAAAGCTCGCCTTTATTTTCGAATTCATTCAAGCCCATTTTACTCAGTGTTTTCCCGAGCGAGCCCAGCAAGCAGTGAGTCCTCGGTGGGAAGCACCCAGCCTGGAGATGGGCACGTTAACTCACCCCCTGCTCTTGCCACCTCCTTTCAGCGTTTGCTCTGAGTTTCCTTCTTTGCCCCTTTTCTCTTTAATAAAGGGATCACCTCGTTACAATCTCGATGATCTGATCCCTCTCCCAGGCTGCCCTGAGGGTACAGGAGATAAGGGCTGAGCTTTAAAGTCGCCTGGGCGGAGGTCTAAGTGGCTGAGGGAGCTGGTTTGGCTGGGTTTGGTAGTTAGAGCGCACTAAAACTTTGGCACGATGCAGCCAGCAGCCAGGAACAAATTTGTGGATGTTAGACCAGCTCTGCTCCCATCCAAGCCTTTCCCCTTGCCCTGAAAGCAACTTGCTGAGATTTCCAACCATTACAGTCATGTGTCGTGGTTTTCTTAGAAATAATCACTGTTCTTAAAAAAAAAAAAAAAAAAAAAAAAAAAAAAAACCAAAAAAAAAACCAAAACACAAAACAAACCAAAACAAACTAAAAACAAACCAAAAAAAACCCACCCCAGCACACCAAAATACCCCCAAAACAAAACAAAGCAGCAACCCACATAGCCTATCTCTCTCTCGGGCAGAAAAGAAATTTAAAATCTGATTGAAAGAATGCATTCAGCTTTCATCTTTGAATGGCTCAGGTTATATCAGAAATCGCACTAATTTTTCACTCTGGGGTTTTCTTTGTAGTTTTTTGTGGTCTTCCCCCCCTCCTTTTTTTTTTTCCCCCTCCATTTTAAAATGAGGTATCGATGGTTTAAAGCACAGCGCTGAGCAGAGCAGACTTTGGAAGCAGTTTTCAAGCCTGTTAGCCCTGGATGGCACACGGTAAGGAGCAGGGACGCTTTTCCTATTCACAAAGAAGGAAATTCAAAAAAAGGGACAAGAAAGTTGTGTACGTTCAAGACAAGTAAACATTATACATGTGTTCATGAGACTGGGAAGGAGAAATACTGTATTTCAGCTCCCCTTCCTCGTTTTTGGTTTGACTATTTTTCTTTTTATCTTCACTCTTCTACTTAACAAATAAATAAATACGCTAACGCTATCAGTACATAAAATAACCCGTTTTCACTTAATTCCTATGCACACCTTCTGAAACGTTATGGAAATGAGCAAGTACTTTCATTACACCAAGAAAGGTAAAGCAGCACAAAAAGTTCACAATTACCAGTCTTTATGTTCAAATAAAAGACTATACTATAAATTTCCTGTCCTCATCTTGCCTAAATGCATCCTCCCGAAATTGCATGGGATAAAAAGACAATTAAAAGTAAGAATCCCAGAACAAAGCATCAAACCTTCACTTTTGAATTCAAAACTGAAACACAGGACAGTTTCATTTTCAATGATTTATTACTTTTTATGGACAGAAGGTCTCGTTTAATATTTTCCCAATTCCCACTGCCTATATGATGTTTCTTTTTTTTTTTTCTTTCCCCCTTTTTTTTTTCCTTTTTTAGGTTGTGCTAACAGAGGCAAATAAAATAAAGTCCAAAGTAGCGTCATTTTGTCTCCTTTGTACAACAGTACCTTAAAGAAAGATGACAGTTTCTTGAGTCCTTAGCTGCTACATGCAGGTTCTGCTTGGGCAGTGTCAGTTATGTACAGTACTGGTCAGAAGCGAAGGATGAAATGGAAAATTTCACCTCTTCTACAAAGTTGTCAAGTCAGTCTGATGGTCCTTGGAACCAGTCTGTAAATGGGGGTTTGAACCAGAGGAAGAAGACCTGCCCTTCGTGTTGGGCAGTTTGTGATCTTTTTTCCACTTCATTCTTCTGTTCTGAAACCAGATCTTGATCTGGCGCTCAGAGAGACACAAAGTGTGGGCTATCTCGATACGGCGGCGCCTGGTCAGGTACCTGTTAAAATGAAATTCTTTTTCCAGTTCTAGGACTTGCTGTCTGGTGTAAGCTGTGCGGGAGCGTTTAGGTTCCCCTCCGTTGTAATTGGGATTCACTGGGAAAAAAATACGGAGAACTTTACAAAGCTAATCTTGACTTGCCGGTTCGACTTTACAAAAGAAAACCTTACGGGCTGCGAGCATGTGGCCAGGCTGGATTCGTCCCAGTTGCTTACAATGGACGGGCTGCTCTCCCCCTCATCTAAGGCAGGCGCGACAGGCACACGCAGCTAGGTAGGCTGGGAGCCTCTAGCAGGCTCCTAAAATGGAGTTTTCTCCTGCACGGCAAAGCCCCGCACGGCCAACGGCCTATTTCCTCAGCAATAAAAATTTATGACGAGTGTAATTGGCGACCTCGGCTTAAAAAGCTCGTCCACGAGTCTGGCAGGGACTCGAGCGAGCATCGCTGAGGACGATCAGAAGCAGGGTAGAAGAGCAAAGTAAGAAGAGGATCCTTACCCGAGTTAACATGGACTTTCTTCATCCAGGGATAAACTACTGCCGGCTGCTTAACTGCGGAGCCGTTTGGGGGTTTGAGGGCCGGCTGCTGGCTGCAGGCTCGCGGGTTGGGCATTGGAGGCGGTGGACAATGCTCTGCTTGGCCGGGGAAGTGGCTCGCTGGGCCGGATTGCTCCTGTCCGTGACCCCGCGGCTGCACGGCAGAGCCTTGGGCATTGCTACAGCTAAAGGGCTGCTCGCTGTAGTTTGACCGTGGGTAGAGTCCCTGGTGCTGGAAATCAGAGCCCTGCGAGGCACTGTAGTACTCGGCCCCCTGCTCGCCTAGGTAGCTGTTCTGCAAATATTCCTCGCAAGGAGGAAATTTGGGATCCACATACTTAGAGTTCACCATATACGAACTCATGGCCATTAATTTCTGAAGGTAGAAAATACTAATTTTTCTCGTGTTGTCTTTTTTTCCCCTGCCATAGAGCCCTCCTACTTGCTGTCAACTGAATAAAGTTAGGCGGGCATGTGACCGGCCTTTTCCCGGGCCAATGGGGAGGCGGGAGCCGATCACCGGATTTCTCCGCAGCTCGGCATTTCCACCGATTTCGCTCAATAATATCCCCGTAACCGAGTGACCCCCCTCTCCGGCGGGTCGCACCCCCCGGACCAGGTACCGGGGGTGCAGGGGTACTCCCCGGGCGGCGGCCGCCTCCCCGGCCCCGCAGGTAAGGCCAGCCTTTTGTCTGAGCGGGGCTGCCCTCAGCCCCGATGGAGGATGCCCCGCCGCCTGATTCACCAGCCGCGACCGCTGCCGGGGCTCGTTACCTCGCTTTCAATAAAATATCGAAAGAAATACGCGGAGCGAGGAGCTGAAGTGGGGTTAAAAGGCAGGAAACTGATTAGGAGGCGAGGCAAAGAAAAGCCATCAAAGAAGAGGGTAATATGATGTACAATAGATCTGTCCTGTCTTTGTCTCGCAGAGGTCATCCAAAAGTTACCAGAATTTAGTTCTGCTGAATAAAATCAGGCAATCAGTAACTTCTCATTCACTTCCAAGCCTCAATATATATGTGTGCGTACGTACGCGCGCACGGACGCAAACGCACACGTATACATATAAATCTGGACACGTAGGTATGTAAAATCATACGGATGGCAAGAAAAGATTCACTTTTAACCGCTAAAGTTCAATCAGTTGAATTGGAGGAGGCATTTAATTAGGTTAAAAAATATCACGGGTTTAATGAGAGAAATTCGGTCTTCGTTCATCAATATCATTCCTGGAGCACAAGTAAACACGTTCCAGTGAGGCGAAGGCTGCTTTTGCTTCTGTCGTAAATATTTTGATGCGATCTGGAACCTTGACAGGAAAATTTTGATAACGTCTGGCATATCTAGCTAATTTATGGGTATCTTTTTAAAGATTCATTCACTCATTGGTAGTTTTGGTTTTTTTTTCTCAGAAAATTTGTAACTTCTGGTGAGATCAACTGTTTAAATTCACAGGCTGTCAGTGAGACTTACGACTGAACAACAACTGAAAATTTAAGAGACGTCCTAAAACCTAACAAACGAGGCAGCAAAACTTTTTTAATTTCTGAGTGTTCAGCACACACGTGCCTTTTGATTCCGTCAGTATTTAAACTTCTAACCATTTGCAGAAAGGTGAAGTTTTTGCATCGACCATATATTCCCCTAGAATCGAATCTGTGACTATATGAATATCACACAAATTCGGTTCTACAGGGTATATATAGACAACGTAATAACATTCTGTTTTCATCTACTATATAGCAGGTCTTTGCAATTCTCTTAGTCCTTACTGTCTTCTGAGGAATGCAAACTATTCTGCTGGGACTCAGTTCTGAAATACGGATTTGCAGGAAGGTGGGATTTCAGAAAAGATTCACGCTTGTTACTATCGCTGCAATGGAGCCATACGACTCCACCAATTTATAGAGACGAATTTCGCCTGCCAAATTCTCAGAAAGACCTGCTGCTCACTTTAAAAGCTCTGCCGTTTACGTCCTCGCTACGGAAAACGGACGTTGCCGATCAAATTGCGCTATTTAGAATAGTAATGGTTAAAATTAATTTAGAAAAGAGTCTTTATCTATTTAGGCTAACATGAATCTGAAGAGATTCTCCATAACTAGAAATTCCGCCCCCCCCAACAAAAAAGAATTAAAAAAAAAAAAATCGAAACAGAAGTAAAACAGCCGACAACAGAAATTGGTGAAAAAGAGGAGAGTAAAGGCTGGAGTTAGTTGCTCTCAGGAAGAGGAGAGTTTCCAAATTTACCTTCATCCCATTATGCTGGTCTAGCTATTATCCCTGCGAGCTGCCTGCGAGCCGCAGCCTCGCACCCTCCCAGGTTCTCCCCGCCGTAGCGTTTATGGTGAAGGGCAGGGCGAGAGGTCAGCCGAAATCATTTACAAACATATCACAAAGTTTCATTATTTTTACTTTGTCGACAGCGGCACACAGGAGTACAAAAGTTCATGAATTGTGTCTGACTCAGCTCCTCAATGCTGTCCTGCGGTCAACCTCTTCTCCTTCCACTATTTAAAACAGGCACCATAAGGACAAATAATGGTGCGGGTGTGATACATCCAACCACTGCGGAGGGCAGATTTGGGGGTGTTGCGTTTATTCGAGCGATGTGTACCGGTTTGTTTGCCTGGCTCCAACTCCCAGCTGCCTGATCTGGGGGATGCTATTTTTAAACATCCGCTTTCTTACCACTGCGGTGGTGTCTTCTTCACAGCAAGTGCAACTCGAAACGACTTTGTGGCCCTAATCTCTTCTCCCCACCCCTCCGCCCCCCGGATTATTTAAATCTCCACCCAACTATTTTAAGCGACTCGCCCCTCTTTCTCCTCCTTTCTCTGAGGGAAGGGGGGATATGTCCCCCCCCCCACGCCGGGGGG